CCTTAATGATTGCAATTGCAAAATCGGGGCCATGAATTCCTCCAAGCCGGCATATAGAAAGAGGTAAATGTGTCCACAGATCCATCCACCATTTAAATGCATCTAATGCTTTTACTAATCCATTTTCAATTCTATTAATTAAATCATTAAACTCATCTGTAGATAAAGTTTCATGAGCTAGTAACATTTCTTCTACAAAGACTTCATCAGAATGTTTAGATACTATTTGCAAATCATTAATCCATTGTTCGACCTTATCTGGCATTTCGCTTGCTCTAAATCCATTTGGAAGATTCGTAGTATTTGTATCCTTACCAATTAAGAAGAATATAACTTTTTCATAAAACTATTCGCCAAAACTAACCATTATTTAAATCTCTATATTTAGTTTATCATTTTGCAAAAAATTATAAAAGGTTTTCCATTTTTTTAAATAGCTTTCAGGAATTTTGTTTGCTTTTTCTAGTTGGTTAATAAACCAACTAGAAAATTGTAAATGAATATCTCTTCGATTTAAATATTGTTTTGCTGTAGTTAATTGGTATAACCAACAGGTTGAGACAGGTTTTTGATATCTCTTAAGATCATAATTAAGTAATGCTTTATATAATTTGCTAATCTTTTCTGCTTTCATATTTAATGGATTGTCTTTATCAGATTCATTATACTCACAGTGAAGATAATAAGCCAAATTAAGAATATTGGACAGATGTGGCTCTAAGCAAATTCCTGAAAGAGATTTAGTTTTTTCAAACATTGTATCATTAAAATGTACTGAAGCTATATGTAATACATATAGACCACAAGGAATTCGAGTTGCTTTTGCTGAATATTGCTTATTAAATTTAACAACAGCACCAGCAGTTGATCCTGACATATAAGCTGTATTATCAGTAAGCCAATATTGATATTGTGCTGGATTTAATAAATTTTTACTAATAGCTTCTCCAATGCTTAAAGATACTGTAGATGCTGAACAACAATCCAAATCTTTCATATTAAGGATAGTAAGCATAGGTTCTTGTTTGTTTTCATTCCAGTAAGATATACATACTAAAAATATTTTTTTTTCTCCTCTAGTACTTTCGTCTGCTAAAATTCCATATGAGCTAAATCAATTTAAAAATTGAGGTATATTATCTTGTATAGAAATTTCTGCTACTTCTTTTGTCTATCGTGATAAAGTACTTGAAGATAAGCATAATTTAGGAGGCCGACCAGTAAGAAATGTTATAATTTCTTTTGTGCATTATATCGTTGATGATATTGAAGTATGACCAAAAGTACTTAAATTCGTAGCCATAGAAATGAACTTAGGTGTATATTTATGGTCATTTTGTTTAATTTTTTTAATTATGGCTTTTTCAATATTTTTATCTGATATTTTTCTTTTTTTTCTAATAGATGATCTAATTTTGGAAGTATATTTACTTTTAGATCTTTTAAAATGCTTGAGTTTAATCATTAACGATTTTATTCTATGAGTTAATCTAAGTATTTTTTTTTTTAATTTTGAATTTTCAGCTTTTAATAGTTTGAGTTTTTCTTGAAAATTAGAGCTCGAGGTTCCATGACTTGTGAATAACAACTCCATAGCTTTTTCTTGCAAATAAGAAGACAAAATTTTTCCTTTATTTGGTCCGTCTTTATATCTCATAATATTAAATAGTCGAAGGCAATCTATTAGTTCTTTTTCTGATATATAATTAATTTTTGATATTATATCTTTTTTTATTTTTTCTGTTTTGGAGATTTTTAATTGAGAAGCTAATATTTGTTGTTGATTAACTAAATTTTCAATTTTCATTAGGTTGATTGAATCGTTTTTAATTAGATCGATTGAATTGTTTTCAATTAGATTATTGGGATTGTTTTCAATCATAATCAATTAAAAATTTCTATGTCAATAAATATAAAAATTACATGGGGGAATTTGGTATTGATTAGATTTATCAATTGATGATAGGTTATGGGATTTAGATATCTTAGCGAGACGTGCTTTTTTACAATGTTTATGAGTTTTAGATAAGCGACCCATTTTACTTTTTTTAATTTTCAAAATCAAAAAAAAAACCGAAAGAAAAAAAAAAGTATTTTTATAATAAATCTATATTATAAAATCACCTTTGTTAATAAAAAACAATTATATTATTAAGAAATATTGCTTTAATATATCATTTTGATGCATCGCTTTGATGCATTGCTTTGAAAATCACTTTGATACATCGCTTTGATAATCGCTTTGATACATCGTTTTGATACATTACAATTAATATAAAATTGCCTTTGTCAGTTAACTAAAAAATAAATATCAATGTTGTTTATTAATAACAAACAAATTACACTTAAATAAAATACTAATACATCGCTTTGATACATTGCTTTGATCAATATTATAATTAATTTTATCATTTTAAGGTATTTATTAACAAATATTCCTGCATTTAGTCGATTTTATTTAAACAAAAGCTATTTTATATAAATAGTTACTTGCGATGCGTATACTATATATACTAATATTAAACTTTCAATCGCTAAAATTTTAAAAAGAACTTTTTGTTTATAAAAAAAACTTATCTAATCTTACTGAAAATTATATATAGAATGCTAATTTAGAGCGAATATTTTATTTTATATGCTTATTAAAAATTTCGAATAGAATGATAGTATCTATGATAAAAAGGTATTTTTAACGAAGATTTTTACACAATTGGCTTTTGTATAAACCAAAAAGCTCTCTAAGGGTGTTCTCAAGTGCCTTAGTCAATCGATCGGAATAGGGTCGGGGCAAATTTTAATTAATAAAAAATTGGG